CCCCTCCTCTCCCCCGCCCCCCAAGTCCACTCACCTAGTATTCCCCCCGTGTGCCCACAAGGCTGTGTGGTCAGTGTGGTTCCCTGCCACCTCCGACTTGACCATACACACCATGGCAATGCTCAGGTTCACTCTCTGGAGGTACAGACAGGCAAACCCCCAAAAGGTCACCACAGAGGTCAGGAACCGCTGGGAGGTCCAGAATGGGACTGGGGGTTGAAAAAGGGGGGGGGGGGGTATATTAGTAGTGAATGTGAATGAATATAATTCGTTTGAAATTAATTGTGAATGAATGTAATTTGTTTGAAATTGATTGTGAATGAAAGTTATAATAAATGTTTGGAATTGATTGAAAATGAATGTTATTTGTTTGAGATTGATTGTGAACGAATGTTTTTTGTTTGGAATTGACTGTGAATGAATATAAAGTGATTTAATTTTGAAGGTACATGATATAAATTTACTGTGATTTATTGTAATTTGATTGCATTTGATTGTGAAAGATCGAAAGTCAATTATGAAAGAATGTGATTTGATTGTATTTGATTCTGACTGAATGTAATTCGATTGAATTTGATTGTGAATTAATGTTGTAATTTAACTGAATTTGATATTAAATGAATGGGGTTAACTGAAACCGATTGTGAATCATAATAACTTGAACATATCATTGATTGTAAATCATTGTGAATATCATTGTGGATGATTGAAACTGACTGTGAATCATTGTGGATGTTTTAAATGATTGTGAATTATATTGTGGATGATTGTAAATGAATTAATAATGGTGCCGTTTGTATATTAATGATTATTGTAAACGATTATGAATAATTGTGACTGATTGTAAAATAATTATTATCGTAAGAGTTTATTAATGGCTAGACATGGTTTCAAGCAGTTTGTTAATAATAATCAGTTATCAGTATTTTGAAAGATTGTAAATCGTTATAAAAATATTGCGGTCTACCTTCTTTCATTCTTTCTTTCTTTCTTTCTATCTTTCTTTCTTTCTTTCTTTCTTTAGCAAAACTGGCACAAACGTTGTAACAAAAAAAGAAAAAAATAACAACACAAAAACAAACAAAAAACAACAACAAAGCCCCCCGCCCAAAACAACAACAACAACAACAAACAAACAAACAAACTAACAAACAAACTAAAAACAAAAACAAGAAAACGAACAACAATACACCCCCTACACCCCGTCGAGCTCCTGTCAGTAAAACGAAAATGTTACCTTTGGACCAGTCTGTGTCCCCCGCCTCTGTGCCATTGCCGTTTTTCGACGCGCTCTCCTTCTCCTTCAAGGCATCCGTCTCGCTAGCTTTGGACATTGTGGCCGGCGGGTTCGATGCTCTGAAATCAAATAATATTGATGATGATGATGATGACGATGATGACGATGATGATAATAATGATGCTGATAATGATGATGATGATGATGATGATGATGGATGATGATGATGATGATGATGATGATGATGATATAACATTTAAAAAAATCTTACAAGCCCCTATAGTTTTTTTTGTCTTTTGCAGTCTACACTGATGATGATGACGACGATAAAATACCAACAAAGGGCAATCTAGATGCAGTCGTGTAGCTTACAGAAAGAGGCATTTCTGTTTGTTATTTTGTTCCTTTCTTTACCAATAGTGTAACGGACTGATGGTCCTTTTGTCCTGAATGACACGATACGGCCCCAGTTAGACAGGAGAGGCCAAGCCGCACCGTTGCGTTTGTGTGGGATGGTCTATACCGGTATATACCGCCCTATACATGTGCCAAATAGGGAATGAAAATGAGCCTAACAAAAACAGAAGCAATGAAGACAGCCAGAAACCAAACCCCATTAAATGTCAAAGTCAAAAACATCCAACTGAAAAAAGAATTCAAATACCCTGGAAGCATGCTCACAGCGAACGAAAAAAGGACAGAGAAATTTAAGAAAGAGTACAAAAGGCAAACGTGGTCACACACCAACTAGCATCCACCCTCTCCCATCAAAACACCACAATAGAGACAAACAGAGCAAATAATCAGATCAATCCGTATACCAACTCTCTGCTATCAGTGCCAGACTTGGAACCCCAACTAAGGCAGTAAAATAGAATAACAGGATGCACAATGAAATGTCTTTAAAAATCACTGAACCTTACAAGAAGAGACAGACAAAAACATCAACAACATCTTTAAAAATCACTGAACCTTACAAGAAGAGACAGATAAAAACATCAACAACAACAACAAGAAACCCACCACCAACAACAAAACAAAAGAAAAACAAATAATGACCCCCCCCCCCCAACGAAGACATCAGACATCAAGTGGGCGTCGAATCGAGCAAAAAATATACCTAGAGACAACAAATAAGACAGTTTGGACAAGTGATGAGAATGGCGCCACAACAACTAATCCCAGGGTCTACAACATTCGATGTAATGGCTTCAAGGCAAAACGAGGCCAAGAAACAGATGGATCGATGGAGTCAAAGACTCCCATAAACAAGAAGATGAAAACAAGAACATGACAATCCAAAGAGCAGCACACCCTCGCGGCGTGACGGCGAAAATGGTATAGGTTTAAAGTCCCTATCAACATTATTAGGTTATTTAAGAGGCGGGACCTCCGAGTTTAACGTCCATCTCTGAAAGGACCGAGCCAAAAGGGAAATTTGGGGAAAGTGCTTTCCCCCAAGGACAAAACGTCGAGACCGAGCTTTCGTTCGAACCCCCGAACCCGCAATCTCACAGTTACGGGTCCGATGGCCTCACCACTATGCCACCGACGCCACTCGGCTTGAAGGTTTAGAGAGGTGACACTCGTCGCGGCGCTCCATAACAACAGTGCATTGTTTCACGTATCGCCCGGCGCGGGGCGCGAAAACACTTACGCGCGGTGATCGCTGCCACGGCGATGCTCTGGGATGCTGTCATGTCATGACAAAATGTAGTACCGTCTGTAGTTGGTTCACTAGGTTACTAGGCCTTTAACAAAGAAGGAGGCCTGTGGTTTCTATCGCATATTTTAGGCAACCCCCTGCCTCCCTCGGCCATAAACTGTAAGACTTGTTTTTGGCTTACTTTAACATACTACATTCTAATAAACAAATAGAAGCAGATACATTACTTCGTCTCAATAGATTTGAAAAAATAATATCACCGTAATTAAAGGAATAATGGGTTTAATTTTCAGCAAATCTACTCGTTCTCCAGTGTCCCTCTGTAATCTCTCTCTCCCTCTCTGTCGGTCTGTCTGTCTGTCCGTCTTTTTTTCTCTCCTTGTCTCTTTCTCTCTCTCCCTGTCTTTTTCTCTCTCTCCCTGTCTCTCTTTCTCCCCCTCTCTCCCTCTGTCTACCTGTCTGTCTGTCTGTCT